TGACACTGTCTAACCATCTCATCCTTTGCCGTCCCCGTCTTCTTTGACCTTCAATCTTTCCCAGCATCAGGGTCTTCTCCAGTGAGTGCTCCCTTCTCATTTGGTGGCCAAAGTATTTGAGCTTCAGTTTCATTATCTGGCCTTCCAGGGAACAGTCAGGGTTGATTTCTTTGAGGATTGACTGATTTGTTCTTCTTGCAGTCCAAGGGACTCTCAAGAGTCTTCTCCAGCACCATAGTTCAAAAGAATCTATTCTTCGGCGCTCGGCCTTCCTTATAGTCCAACTCTCGCAGCCATACATGACTACTGGGAATACCATTGCTTTGACCATGCGGACTTTTGTTGGCAGGGTGATGTCTCTACTTTTTATCATGCTGTTTAGGTTCGCCATCGCTTTCCTCCCAAGGAGCAGGCGTCTTTTAATTTCATGGCTGCAGTCACAGTCTGCGGTGATCTGGGATCCCAGGAACGTGAAGTCTGTCACTACTTCCACAGCTTCCCCTTCTATTTGCCAAGGAGTGATGGGGCCGGATGCCATGATCTTAGTTTTTTTGATGTTGAGCTTCAAGCCCACTTTTGCGCTCTCCTCTTTTACTCTGAGCAAGAGGCTCTTTAGATCCTTTTCACTTTCAGCCATTAGAGTGGTATCATCTGCATATCTGAGGTTGTTGATCTTTTCCCCAGCAATCTTAATTCCCGCTTGTGATTCATCCAGGCCAGCATTTCGCATGATGTACTCTGCATATATATTAAATAAGCAAGGTGACAGTATACATCCTTGTCGTACTCCTTTTCCTATGCTGAACCAATCAGTTGTTCCGTATCCGGTTCTAACTGTCGCTTCTTGGCCCTTATACAGGTTTCTCAAGAGACATGTGAGGTGGTCTGGTACTCCCATCTCTTTAAGGACCTGCCATAGTTTGTTGTGATCCACACAGTCAAAGGCTTTAGCATAGTCAATGAAGCAGAAGTAGATATTTTTCTGGTACTCTCTTGCTTTTTCCATAATCCAGCGAATGTTGGCAATATGATCTCTCGTTCCTCTACCTCTTCGAAACCCAGCTTGTACTTCTGGTAGTTCTCTATCCACGTACTGTTGAAGCCTAGCTTGTAGGATCTTGAGCATGACCTTGCTAGCGTGTGATATGAGTGCAATTGTGCGATAGTTTGAACATTCCTTGGCATTGCCCTTCTTTGGGATTGGAATGTATACTGACCTTTTCCAATCCTGTGGCCACTGTTGCGTTGTCCAAATTTGCTGGCAAATGGAGTGCAGCACTTTAACAGCATCATCTTCTAAGACTTTGAATAGCTCAGCTGGAATACCATCACCTCCACTAGGTTTGTTGTTAGTAATGCTTTCTAAGGGGGTACTGTTACTAGACAGTTAATCTAAGCTTTAAAGAAAAAGTGCTATAAATGTTTGACTCAGTTTATAAAGGGATCAATGATGAGAAGACTCAATGTATCTAAGCTAGTTGGAGGATCTCCTCTCTTGGGGTTTTGGTTAGTAGTGGGTTCTTTACTTTCTCCTGTTTCCCCTTACCTTTTTTTTTTTCTGTTGTAGTTTTTTGTAGTGAAAAATAATAATTAAAAAATCCTCTCCGGGTGGGGGGGGCTTACAGAAAGTGGGTTTATGGCATGGTTACTGAGGCCATGTGGCTGCACCATTTGGCTTGCAACAGGAAATAAGACACAGCATGTTATCAAAAGACATCGCAGGAGAATGCATGAGACTTTTAGAAATCAATATTTCTATACAGATCCTAAGATCACTCTAGCAATTGCAACATTTATCTCAGTCCTTTTAGCCCTTGCATCTAAAAATAAGAAATAAATGACTTCTGCTGCTCAAGATTTGTGAATCGATGAGCTTCTAAGGGTACAAAAGGAAAGGAAAAAAGGAACTCACTCCCATGTGGGAACGTGAACCCTAATCTCTCCATCAACCTGCCTAGGGTTCACGTCCCACACATCTCACTACCCAGATCATGTTTTACAACAGCTATCCATGTTGCCCTCCTTAGCAGGTAGAGCAAATAATTATCTCTCTGTGGAAATATATCTCCGCTTTCTCTGCTCTTTTGGTGCATTTTATTACTCTTTCCATTCCCCTGGAAATACAACTGGCCATCAGAAACTCCTCGGTGCCCTCCAAACCACCTTACATCTCCAGTGCATGACACTGATATCCCTTGAATTTACCCAAAACTGCAAAAATGAAAGATTTGTGCATTGTGTTTCCTTTGTGCCATCCCTGACAGTGAAAATCAGCAAACATGCTAGCCCTGGATCTAAGGATAACACTACCCACTACATCAGCCTCCCATGTTATGTCTACTATAAAGCTAAGAGAAGCTATTAATATCCACTTCACATACAATGAAAGGGAAGGGGCCACTGTTTTATTTTCCATTCAACTTCCTTTTAAATCCCTTTTGATTATCAGTCTCCCAAACATATGGATTAAAAGCCATACAAGGTAAAACCAAAATTCTGTGAAATCCGCATCTCTGGCTTTTAAAAAGCAATTTCCTGTGCCACATGTCCAATAAGGGTGGTGAAAAATTAGGGCAGATGCCATCTACTGCAAAGTAGAACTATGCTAGATGAAGAACAGTTGTCCCTGCATTATCCCCTGAAACTATGCTCCCAACAATGTGGGAGGCAAAGAAACATCTGCAACAGTGTGTGTGTGTGTGTGTGTGGGGAATCACAAAAATAATGCTTCCATAAGCAGAAAGGAGGTTAGGATTCAAGTTTACCCTGTAAAAACTGGTCTCAGCAGCTGAGTCAGTGATACATTCTGGAAGAAAACTATATTTTTACATGTATGCATTCAATACAGCAATGTTAACACACTGTATGCATCCTCTGTCCTATCAAAAAATTATATCCCGGTAGGAAAAAGTCTTATGTAAAGCAGCCCCCAAAAAGAAACACCTTCCTGTACCAGTATTTAAATTCGGTCTGCCATTATTTCCTGCCAGAGGTAAAAATGCCTCCCCGCTTCCATCCGCCCCTCAGTTGCTTACCTTCTCATCTTTTCCTTTAGCTTTCGCTTCCCTCTCTCGGCTGCTGGCAGGTTTCTCATTTTTCGAGATTGGCTGAGCTCTGCCCACAGGGCCCCGCTGCAGCCCTGGTGATTCTCTTCTCAAGGGTTTCACTTCCCGGTTGGGTCGTTTTATCTGGGGTGGGGCTCTGTTACGTAAAGGAATCGCGTAAGTCTTTTTTTCCATTCAAACTTTTTTTGGAGAAAAAACCCTGATAAATAAATTGTGCAGGTTGATCTAAGAGGGAGGTACCAATGGGTGGATGCCCAGGGAGAGACTAGATATCCTCTCAGCCTTTACCAAATGCCATGTGGATGTTAATTATATTATAGCTATAAAGTGTCCTAAGGCCATTTTTTTTTTTTTTTTTTTAGAAGACCCAAGAAAATCACCACAGATGTATAGGGACTGGAAATATTAGACATAGTGCCTCATCAGGCGTACGTCCCCAGACTACAAGATCCAAACCCCAGTAAACTGGTACAACGAAGAAGCATAGTGAGAAGTGAAATTCAGACCTTGTGTCAAGCACTGTTTAAGGAATTGACAAATGTGGGGAGCCTTTGCTTGGGCCTCTGACCTCTCCAGCATGATGCTACCACATTTCCTGTTCTCCTAGCCCCATTCCAAGAGGGGGGGTTGTGGGCACCCATACACCCTCCTCCCACAGCTTCCACCTTACATTGCCTGGAGCAGGTAGCTGGCCATGTCCTCTCAGCCAATGCTTCCCTCTTTGCCCTCTCCTGGTTTCTTGAGACCTCAAGTATCTTTCCCCTCTCAGCAGCACGTAGCATGTGCATTCTTCCCACCTTGAAACCAATGCCACCTAACCAATGTGGTGGCACTTCAAAGGTGGGTACCACGGGGTCTCTTCTTCCCTCCCTCAGCAGCCATCACTGGGATGCATAAAACGCCCACCCAGGCAACAAATCATGGTTTGCAGTCAGCCAGCAAATCAAGGATAGAAACTGGTATGAAATGAGTTTGTGCTAAATATATTTTGGTGCAAGGCCTGAGTTGAAAAGCCACAGTTCCAGCTGCCGTCCCAGAGAAACAGGGTGCTGAGCAGATGAAAAGAGGGAACAGTTGTAAACTACAGTGTGCCAGCAGATTCGGAAGTGCCAGCTGTGGTTTGGGTTTTAAACTATGGTTAGCATAATCCATGTTTTGTCTTGATATCCTAATTGAGCACAAGTCAAGGTAAGCTGACTGCACAGCAAACACCCCCCAGGAAGCTGGGACTGGGGAACAAGAAGTGGTACCAGGCTGGAAATAGGCTCAGCGTCTTAGCACTCCATTTACAATAACAATGGAAGAAGAGAAGGTAGCAATTTCAATGATCCCTCCCTTCCACGGCAGACACCCACTTTGCCCCCCCCATGCTGTTTCGGGGGATGCACTGACCGGCTGAAACAAAATTTCAGGGAACTACAGCAGGAGAAAAGAAGCTGGAAAGTCGCACTCTACTAGGTCTGCTCCTGGAATAGATCTTTTTGGCTGTGAGTATTTACCTTTACTCCACCCTTCCGCCAAAGAGTGCAGGGTAGCATATATAGTCATGCATTCACCATTTTATCTTCACAACAAAAGATCAAGTGTAACAGGTCTAAGGTCAGCTAATAAAATTCATGGCAGTGTAGCGATTTGAATCTGGGTCTCCCTAGTCCTAGTTTTACACTTCAGTCACTATCTCCCACTCTCACTCAAGCTTGGGTTGATCAACGTACAATTGAACTGATTACATCTGAAGTCATACTTTAAACCGAATTACCTGTGCTCAGCTGGAACAGGAGGTGGCCAAACAGATGGATCCCTAAATGGTTCATCCTGATAAGATACTGGAATATCTGTAGGTCTGTCTACTTTAAAACTCTCTAAAGTATTGACAATGCTTTTTACTTGCTCGTATTCTTCTAATAATTCTTGCCGAACCTTGAAAATAAACAGATCACAGGAATTCTACCATATTTATTTATTTAATTTACAGAAACATTAAGATGGCCAGAATAAGGGAGTCAGAAATATTAACATGCTGCTTAAAGTGGTAGTAGGCCAAAGTTAGTCTATAGCAGTGGACTTGGCCAGTTCCTAGTAGATCCCCATAAGGCTTGCTGACATCTAGGATACTTGCAGATGAACTAAAAGATCTTGGCCTGATCCAGCTTGACAAAGTTTATGTTCTGAAGTGCCAGTATATATGAGATCACTTAAAACAAAGCAGTTACAGTTTAACTGTTACAAAATCCTTGACTATACACTCCTGCTTTATAAATTAAAATATATAGTGGACTAAAAGAAAAAGCAGACTGTACAACATTGAAGTTATGCAATCCCTGGTTTAAAGGACAGTACAAAGAAAGAAAGGCAGGACATCATGTGTGTTTAGGTCATTACACTAGTGATCCACGGTTTTCTTACTACCAGTCCTACCCTCAAATAGCATTACTTGATCTAGTCATTCCTTAATAATTACCTTTTTGTTGTCAAGATTCAGAATCAAGCTTGTATTTCCAAAAAACTCATTATACATAGGACTTGTGATGCATGGAAAGGTGGGAAAATATTCACCATTATTCACTCCAACTACTATTTGTCAATTACTTTTCTAAGTTAATGTAGCATCAACTGAATGATAGATTTTTTTAAAATCCTGCAATTTGTCCAAAACAGATTACTTAAAGGATGGCTTTTTAATTCCAGAACATCTCAGCTTGGTGGTTCCTAAAGAAAACTTTAGACTGTAAGTTCTTTGAAGCAGGGCCCTGTCTTGTAATCACTTTCTATGAAAAGTACCATGTACACTGACAGCATTATAAAAATACAATTTTTTAAAAAGTTAAACTGCTGTTCTTTTTCAATGTTTCCCTGACAATTGGCCAAATGGTGTTGGAAAAGATGTGGAGCTGGAGCGAGTTTGCTAACCCTGACCTGGTGTCCTTCATATAACACAAATTACATCTGCATGGTTAGAATGTATAAATGAGCTGTAAATCTCACCGTCTAAAGTCTATTTTTTGCTAAAGAACATAATTGCACCATTAAAAGCAATTAAGCAGTTAATATAATAAAAAAGAAAAGAATTTGGAAATTTGAAGCAAGTGTTACAAGGGAAGCAAATAAGGTTTCCTTGGAAAATTTGCTTTAGAAATATTCCTGGCAAAAGACAGGAAAACAATAACAACAGTTGAACAAGTCAAAATACTCTTACAAGAACTGTTAGCAAAAGATACTGATCAAACCTTGGGATCAGAAGTCACTGGAACTTTATCCAGAGAAAAGACAAGGAGCAATAAGGAAAAGAGAGCAGGAAAGAAGAAAGGGAAAAAATGAATGAACTAAAAATAATTTCCATGAATTTGAACTTCTAAAGATAAAAAGAATCAATTAAAAAAAAGCTGATATATTATGTGCCCAAGAAAACATATTAAAAAAACACCATATATTAAATTGCAAAAGATTAGGCAGTGGGAAAATCTTAGGAGTAAAGAAATTAAGTTTACTGAATGTCAGTTGCAAAATATATTAATAACCAAAGCTCAGAAGTACTCAAAAAACTAAAAGATCAAAGTGGAAAATATCTGATCCTGAGGGACAAATATAGACATTAGTATCAAAAACTTTAATTACAAGAGTTGGGAAAGCAGAGATTCTAATTAAAAT